GTGGCTAGGGACCCTGTTCTAGAGGGAACCCCTATTGAAGAAAGCGTGCACACGCTGAACCCTGAAGCAACCAACCTCGCAGAGGACATCGTCCTCTGTCGAATGCATAAACCGGGAACCCTATTCTACTCCATCATCCTCTCAAAAGGATGGTAGTTTTATCATACAGAGTCCGTTCGCCCAAGGACTCGACACTACCAAGAGAGGCATCCATTGCCCCTCCACACGTGAGTGAACCACCCAATCATGCTTCAGAGGCATGCGAGAAAATCACCAAGGCTGCGAGTCTAGAACACCCAAAGTCTCCACTCGATCCCTCTGCCAAGTTAGGCTCTGAACCTATTAGCCATGAAATCGACAGAACACCGGTAGGCTCTCCAATTGGGGATGTCCGAGGATCTGGTGGAAGTCCCCGAGATGACAACGTCAAATCGGTCACTGAGGACGCCTTACACTCCAAGGCTACTAGGTCACCATGTGTTTGTGATCTAGGTTCCTCGAGTGCCTATGTGACGAAGGAGGAGCATCAAACCTTCACCACAGAGGTACTCAAGAGGTTGGATGAGTTGAAAAGCTTGTTCTCCTCCTCTCCGACAACAGAGGCTCTTACACCTCTCACAGAGGCTCTGAAGGAGTTGACTTCTACAACTTCTGAACTCAAGGCGGCCGTATCAGCCCTTCAGAGCTCTGTCCTCAACAAGGCTGATCTCGTAGAAGCCTTCAGCGTGTTGTCTCTCAATCCTTATTCCATCAACACTCTCAAGACAGAACTGACAGAGGTCGATGCCCAGTACACTGCAGACATGATTTCCGCCGGCTACACGAACTACTCCGCCTTCAAGGATGAAATCAAAGAGATGTTCTCCTCTGCAATCACTGTTGACGTCGACTCCTCATCCTCTAGGGCTAACATTAACCATCTTGCCACTCGCAGAGAGATAGACGCAATGGTTGAGGCCCTCGGAGAGATCGTGCGGAAACACCACGACCATCTTCTCAAAGAGGCCCGAGCTTCTAACGAATCCATCAGAGACTGCACGAAGCAACTCGTCAAAGGTCACTCATTCCAAAATGAAATCTATCGTTGCATCTCTAAAATGAAATGGGCCACAGAGATTGATATCAACACTGCCACTCTGAATGCTGAAATGGTAATAGAGAAGATGGAGAAGGCGGCCTCCAGAGTTCTCAGGCGCTTGAAGAAGGCTTCCCTCACCTCGTGCGAGACAGAGGCTACTCAAATCCATGATAATCAGGGAGGCAATGACCCTGATCGTCATGAGGGGGAGAAGAAGACAGAGCCAAAGAAATCAACCTCTGCCAAACCACTGAAAATAGTGGATTCTACTGCAGCCCTATTCTCCAAAGAAAAATCTCCAGAGCCTACAGGGAAAGGCAAGGGTAAAGTGGAAGAGGCGTCGCCAAAGAAAGGGTCTAGCTCTGACACACTGGAGGAAATTAATGAAGATGAATATGACAACCCTGATCTGGTTCAAGCCCTCAAGGCTTCTGTGGCAGAGGCTCGGATGAAGAAAGGCAGAGCTCCCATCCCCAAAGTCGGAGAAGGCTCTTCCAAACTAGCCAAGATACCTGAAGAGACGTCCATGGGTACGTTCGACGCTCTGTTAGGAACAGTCAAGCCAATCCTACCACAGGGGTCTACCCAGAGGCCTATACTCGAAGAAGACACCAGAACGCCAGAGTCTGCCACAGTGGGGAGGGTCTCTGAAATTATTGATTCAATAAACAAGATTCCCACGCAGAAGATGCGTACAGAGCCCGTAATCATTGTCGAAGAGATTCTGCGGTGGCGTTACTCATCCACAGACACAGAGCCCCCATACAATCCAGAGCTAACTGGCATGCCCTCTGTCGAAGCAAATTTTCACTTCCCTAAACTCACTGAGCCACCAGTGCAGGTCATCTCAGAGCACATTATTTGCTCACTAGAAACCATCTCTCCATGCACCATACTGAAGAAGACCGTGCTGTACACTCAATATACGGTGAAGAGGGATGATGGCAACCTCTACACTTTTATAGATGCTGACCTCCATAATCTATGCGTATTTGATCTAATCTTCTTGCACAAGATCCTGAACAAGTACATGGAAAGGAGGTCAAGCTACTCGATTTCTCTCAGAAGGCTGATAGAGGTGATGCGTGCCCAAGTCAATTCTACAGATAGAAAGACTTCGATATTGCTATGAGGTTGGACCAGCCAGAGCTGAAGATTACTCCTCCAAAGAACAGACCCATTTGGCTGCATAGGTTYCATCCYAACACTATTATCCACAATCCCATCTTTGGGTTTGTTTTCTTGGACAAGGATAAAATTCTAAGATTCTTCGATCCGAAAGAGGCGCACAAGTATTCAACAGAGTCCCTCGAATGGGTGTTCAACTCGATGGTGGCAGAGGTGCAGAAAGGGCGAATAAGGGCGGATGAAGTAATGGACCTTCTGGAAACCATCAAAATACAAGTCTCACTCAGGGAATGGATCTTCAAGGTCTACAAGGCTGTCAAGACTGATTTCAATTTGCTGTAGACGATTATCCAGACTCTGCTGTTGAGTAAACTTTTGTAATAGTGTAGGCCTGCACATTTTTTACTTCTTTCAATAATGTAATTTTTTTGCAGAGGATGAGATTAATCTCCTCTTGTATTTTTTCCTTAAGTCAAATCTTGCTCCCAACTGTCCACAATTACTTTTTCAATACTTAGGGGGAGATTGTTAGCTCCATTATTCCTATCTTGTAAAAGTATAGAAAAAGTATATTGCAAGCCTTGACAGAAGGTTAACTCCACAGAAGACAACATAGGATTAGCAACAGAAGCCGTATGAGTGAACAAGTAAAGAGTGCCAGAACCTCTCATGCATCTCACAGAGGTTCTGGAAAATAGTCCTCTGATCAAAAGAACATGTAAGTCATTTACAGCAGAGCCTCTGAGATGGCTTACAGAGGGTCTGCGGTTTTCGTCTTCTGTGAAGTTTTTGTTCTAACAGTTTTTCAAAGGTTGCTAGCCATGCTTCTCACGTGACTAGGACTTAATTGACTTTCTTTGGACGACCCAGATGAAGACACTTGTCAAAGATCTAGTCTCTAAGGTCGTTAGGAACTAGTATAAATAGCGGATAGGGCCTTTGTAAACTGTGTGCTTCCAGTATTGTAATTGTCAAAATTTTCAATTGAATCAATTGAAAAACCTTTGGAGCAATCTTCTTGTATTCATCTTCTTCGTTGATATTGTGTGTTCTTGGTGTGTTTAGAATTTCTAATCACTTACTCACTCTGTTTTGTCTTATTAATACTTCCGCTGCACTTCAATTGTTTTAGAGCTTGTTTAGAGTGTTAGATCAATATCAAAGTTGAATTTAGATCCTACAAACTCTTACTTTTTATTTTAAAAACCTGTGAACTCACCAACTATTTCAGTACTTGACCTCCTTCTTCGTCATGCTTTTCATGTGTGTTCATCATTAACGTTGGCACATAGGAAGGCATCGTGTGGCTGCATATCTTTATTTTATATTTGTGTTGGCAATCATGTTATTTCCCTTTTAAAATGTTGAAACTTTGTATCGTTGTAAACTTTCGAACTATCTTCTTACTATGGTTGATGTTGTCTTCTACCTTATGCTGTGAAACCCTTTAGCTGTTACATCTCGTGTTTCCGCCGCGGCGGGGTGTGATAGGTTTGGTATCAGAGCCGAAGGTTATAGAGAACATTGGTTTTCCTTGGGAAAGCCCAAACTATAGCCGAAACCTGGAAATAACGTTTAAAATTCGGAACATATTGCTTGTATAACTAAATTAGTATTGCATTATTGGACCTTAATTAAACAAAGCCTGATCACCTATGTTTAATTAAGGAAAGATTAATACTATAATTGAAATGGTTATATTGGGAATATGTTTAAGATTATTTTCCTCTCAAAACCTTTGAAGCATCATATTTGGTGTGTGAATAGGCATTGCATATAATAGATGATTATAGATATACCCTTAGTGACTTAGTGCACACTTATCTCAGCTTCACTATGTCATCATCATCTTTTTCTCTCAATTCATACTCAGGCGACGAGTCAGGTTATGTAACCGGTCGTCATCGAGCCAACCCGCCTATCATTAGAGAGGAGGAACCTCATGTTGACACCGATTCGGATCACGAGGTGTCCAGTGAGAGGACTAATGGAGCCCACCCGAGAATTTAACCTACTACCGAGTTACCCCAGGCGACCATGGTAGTTCATCGGCCAGTTCTGAGTGGGGCGCGCACCCGTCAGGCGGCACAAAAGAGTGTCCCTATGTCTAGAAGGGCAGGACTAGGACCCTTGCGCCAGGAGTCGGTGGTGACGCCTCGTGTAGTTGCAGGGGTACCTGTAGGACAAGCATCCGGCATGACGCAGGCCGAAACACAAAGGGTTCAGTCCATGGCTGCTGAACTGCAGAGTTGCTAGGCAAGGTTGGCATATCAGCACCAGGCTATGACCAACTTGACAGAGGCGGCAAACCTCCTGTACCGGACGTCAAAGGAGACATGGGAGACCGCCAATGCGGCAAGAAGGTCTGTACGGAGGATGGTGTTTTTATGTCAAATGATGGGAGGACTGGCGCTGGCGATAATTGTGATGCTGCTCCTACTGGTCGCGTATCGAGGATGGTTTTAGTTGAATAATTATTAGTAGTCTTTTGGGCACAACATTTAAGCAAAAAAAACATTAACTTGTGATCATTAAATAAAATGTGTGCTTTTTACTACTTTCTACTGAATTAGTGACCTTGGGGTCGAAATCTTTTGATAAGCGATGAATCTTTGAGGTTGCTGAATAGACATTATTCAAATTATGTATGAAAAGCCGTTTTTGTGGGATGTAAATTTTTTTATGATTATCATTGTTGTGAATTTCAAGTTGTGATTTAAGGTATTGAAGAATAAGTATGGTCTTTTAAAAAAACTTCTAATCAAAAAAACGTTTGTGAACATATTCTAGAACCATGCCCCCAATAAGGAGCGCACACAACATGAGAGGGAATCCTGAAAGCCAAACACCTGATATAGCACAGTTGATAGCTCAGCAAATCCAGGAGACGGTACCAACTATTGTCGCTCAGGTTACAGCGGGCATTAATGCAAGTCAATGGAGCGAGGGAGGCCCTAGCATCGAGAATCTTGTCAGGGAGGAGAATCGTAACACCAACGATAGAGGATGCAGTTACAAGACATTCATGTCATGCAAGCCCAAGGAGTTTCATGGCAAAGAAGGTGCAATTGGATTACTATCATGGATTGAGAACATGGAGTCGGTACTCCATATTAGCAGGTGCTCTGATGATTGTAAGGTGAAGTATGCAACATGCCAACTCCAGGGTAGAGCCCTAACTTGGTGGAACATTCAAGTTCAAACCCATGGTCGCCAAGCTGCCTATGATCTATCATGGGAAGAACTCAAAACGTTACTCATCGAAGAGTATTGTCCTAAGAGCGAAATTCAGAAGCTGGAAGTTGAATTCTGGAATCACACCATGATTGGAATGGAGGTGGACAAATACACTGCTCATTTTCATGAGCTTGCCAAGTTAGTACCTCATATGGTCACCCCGGAGGAGAAACAAATTCATCGGTACATTTGGGGATTGGCACCTCAAATCCGAGGGATGGTCACATCGGCAAACCCAACCACTATACAAAACGCAGTGGTTTTGGCAAACCGTCTGACAAATGATGCAGTTAGATCAGGGATTTTAAAGCAAGACAAATTTGGTGGAAAGAGGAAACTAGAGGGGCAATCATGGAAAAGGGCCAACAACAATTTAGGCAAGAACCAAAGAGTGGTGAAGAATTTTGGAGTAAAGGTTCAGGAACCGGGGCAGTATAGTCGGCAACTTCCAAAATGCAGCAAATATAATTATCACCATGCAGGGGCCTATCCTACATGTGGCAAATGTAATCGGTTGGGTCATATCACCAAGTTCTGTAGAGGGGAAAAGAAAATCAAGGATGGAATAAGGGTATGCTATGAGTGTGGAAGTCAGGATCACTTCAGGAATAAGTGCCCAAGGATAATTAGAGGATCAAGCATCAACAATGCCAGAAACCAGGTAAGGCAAACTAGTCAGGGAAATCAAGGAGGCCAGGCTCGAGGAAGGGCATTTGTAATGGGAGCCGAAGAGGCACGTCAAGACCCTAATGTTGTGACAGGTACGTTTCTTTTAAACAACCTCTATGCCTAAGTAATATTTGACTCTAGAGCAGATAGAAGTTTTGTTTCCCTAGAATTTAGGCCGTTGATAAATCTGAAATCGAGGAAGTTGAAAGATGCTTACACTATCGAATTTGCCGATGGCCAAGAAATAAAGGTTAGGGACGTAATCTTGGGTTGTACTTTAAATTTAGCTGATAAGTTATTTAGCATTGATCTTATCCCAATTAAATTGGGAAGTTTTGATGTAGTGGTAGGAATGAGTCGAGCGGAGATTTGTTGCTTTGAGAGGATTGTGCGAATACCTTACCAAGATGGAGAAACCCTATCTATACAAGGGGAAAAACCTGGAAGGAGTTTAAAGATGGTATCATGTGTGAAGATTTGCAAGTATATGAGGAAAAAGTGCGTTGTATTCTTGGATCATGTATCGGAATGGAAATCCGAGGAAAAGCATATTCAGGATATTCCTGTGGTGAGAAATTATCCAGAAGTATTTCTGGATGATTTATCAGGACTTCCTCCATCTAGACAGGTCGAATTCCGAATTGACCTAGTTCCTGGGGCGGCGCCTGTTGCTAAAGCTCCATATCGCTTAGCACTGGCCGAGATGCAAGAGCTGTCAGGTCTACTTCAAGAACTTCTGAACAAAGGATTCATCCGGCCAAGCTCTTCACCTTGGGAAGCTCCAATCTTGTTCGTTAAAAAGAAGGATGGCACGTTTCGAATGTGCATAGATTATAGGGAGTTAAACAAGTTGACGATCAAGAACCGATATCCCCTCCCTCGAATTGACGATCTGTTCGATCAGTTGCAAGGCGCATGTTATTTCTCTAAGATTGACTTTTGTTCAAGGTATCATCAGCTAAGAGTTCATGAGGAGGACGTCTCTAAGACGGCCTTTAGGACTCGATATGGGCACTACGAGTTTCTAGTTATGCCCTTCGGTCTGACCAACACGCCGATGGTATTTATGGATTTAATGAATAGGATATGTAGACCGTATCTAGACAAGTTTGTGATCGTATTCATTGATGATATTCTAATTTATTCACGGAGTAGGGTAGATCATGAGCAACATCTGAAAATGATGTTAGAATTGCTCAAGGAGAAAGAATTATATGCTAAATTTTCAAAGTGCGAATTCTGGATTCAGGAGGTACATTTTCTCGGTCATGTGATTAGCGAAAAAGGAATTCATGTGGATCCGGCTAAGGTTGTGGCCATAAAGAAGTGGGAAGCACCAAAGACCCCGACAGAAATTTGTCAATTTCTGGGTTTGGCGGGTTATTATCGACGATTTATAGAGAGCTTCTCAAAGATTACCCAACCATTAACAGCATTAACCCATAAAGGTAAGAAATTTGTTTGGGGAAAACCCCAAGAGGACGCATTCCAACTGCTAAAGCATAAGCTATGCAACGCGCCAATCCTAGCTTTGCCAGAAGGAACCGAAAACTTCGTAGTATATTGTGACGCATCGCGCCAAGGTTTGGGTTGCATATTGATGCAGAAGGACAAGGTTATGGCATACGCTTCGATGCAACTCAAAGCCCATGCGAAGAACTATACCACTCATGACCTGGATCTAGGAGCTGTGGTTTTCGCTCTCAAAATATGGAGGCATTATTTGTATGGCACTAAGTGTATTGTTTTTACCGACCACAAAAGTCTCCAGCGTATCCTTGATCAGAAGATGCTCAATATGAGACAGAGAAGATGGGTGGAGTTGCTCAGCGATTATGATTGTGAAATCTGATACCACCCAGGTATGGCCAACATAGTGGCAGATGCTCTAAGCCAAAAGGAAAGGATAAAACACTCTCGAGTACGAGCTTTGGGAACGCTTGTCCAGACGAGTTTGAAGACTCGAATTCTTGAAGCTCAAGATGAAGCGCTGAAGGCAGAAAATTTGAAGAGCGAGACCCTGCATAATCTGGAGCATAAATTTAAGACTAAGTCAGATGGAGTGCGTTACTTCAAGGACAGAGTTTGGATTCTGAAGATTAACAACCTACGAGAGTTAGTTTTGGAGGAAGCCAATAGATCTATGTATTCGATTCACCCAGGGGCGGATAAGATGTATAAGGATCTGAGAGAGTACTATTGGTGGCAGGAATCAAAAAGGATATAGCTTTGTACGTTGGAAAATGTTTGACTTGCTCAAGGGTCAAGGCAGAATATCAGAAGCCATCCGGATTGTTACAACAACCCGAGATCCCACAATAGAAATGGGAACAAATCTCCATGGATTTTATCACCAAACTGCCTAGAACTGCTAAAGGTCATGACACGATTTGGGTAATACTGGATCGACTAACAAAATCCGTACATTTCCTTCCTATTCGTGAAGATTTTAAACTGGTGAAGCTTGCTCAAATCTACGTTAACGAAATTGTTGCAAAACACGGAGTACCTATTTCCATTATCTCGGATAGAGATAGCCGCTTCACATCGCGGTTTTGGCAATCACTTCAGAAGGCCCTGGGTACACAACTGAATTTGAGCACCGCCTATCATCCCCAAACGAACGGGCAGAGTGAACGCACAATTCAGACTTTAGAAGATATGCTTCAAGCATGCGTGATCGATTTGGAGAAAGTTGGGACATTCATTTACCATTGATAGAGTTCTCTTACAACAACAACTATCACACTAGTATTCAACACGCACCATATGAAGCCTTATACGGGCGTAAGTGTCGATCACCACTTAGTTGGTTGGAGATTGGGGATAGTCAGCTAACGGGACCAGACATTGTGCAGGAAACTACTGATAAGATATCAATAATCATAGAAAGACTTAAGGCTGCCAGGGATCATCAAAAGAGTTATGCGAGTAATCGGAGGAAGCCTCTTGAGTTTCAGATTGGGGATAAAGTGCTTTTGAAAGTATCACCGTGGAAAGGGTTAGTACGGTTTGGGAAAAAGGGGAAGTTAAGCCCTAGGTATATTGGACCATTCGAGATCACCGAAAGAATTGGTCCAGTGGCATACAAACTAAAGCTACCCCAGGAATTAAGCGCCATTCATAATACATTCCATGTGTCCAATCCTAAAAAAAGCTTGGCCGACGACTCATTGATCATGCCCCTAGAAGATGTTCAGATTGATGAGCGGTTGCACTTCATAGAAGAACCCATTGAGATCCTCGACAGAGAAGTTAAGCAGGTAAAGCGAAGAAAAATTCCGATTCTGAAGGTTCGTTGGAAATTGAGGCGTGGGCCTGAATATACTTGGGAACGTGAGGATTATATGAGGCGCAAGTATCCTCACCTTTTTGCTCAAGATGCAGTCACATTAGGTAACCATTGAATTTCGGGACAAAATTCTTCCAACCGGAGGAGACTGTGACATCCGTCAATTTTGGAGTTTCGGTTAGCAGCAATCTAGGGTTTGTAAAAGTAGAAATATTTACTAGGACTTAGTTCAGTTGATTAAGGCTCAATTGGCTTAGATTCCCGACGTTTAGTTCAAAAAATCATGTTTTAGCGATAAAATTTACTTATGTAATGCCAAATACACTAAAATTTCTCCAAACATGATAAAAGTTGATGATATGAAGTCCAAATTAAAAATATAAAAGTCCAATAWTAAAAATTCAAACAACTTTGCAAAAATTAGGAAATTTGACCTAATATTGATTTTTTATCACATTTTAGCATTTTATCTTTTTTTAACATTTTAATGGGCCTTAGTTTAAAAAAAATGTGGACTTCGGCCCTCTAAGGCTGGCCACATGTTGCACACACAAGACCCACATATAAAAACATTTGTCTCTTTTTTGCCTCTTCATCTAGTTCATTTTGCATGTAAATCCTCTCAAAATCCTCTCAAAAATCCCTCTTCTCCTCCCTTAAAACACTTCAGCTGAAAATTAAAAAAAAAACCCCTTAGTTTCAATCATTTTTGAAGATCATTGAAGGAATCAAAGTGCTAACAAAAAGGTAAAGAGTTAGTTACATTGTTTTAGTATTTTAAACATCATTTCTCATCTTTTTCTACACATTTCCTTCTTCCTTTTGAACTCAAATTTCTGGATTATCTAGATGGTAGATTATACAACAAAAACATGAAAAATGACTTCATAATGGTGATAATCCATGACTCATACAACTAGAACTCAAGAAAACAAAGTTTTGATGTTATGCGTGTAGATTTTTCTATAATCTGAGATGTTTGAGTTTATGCATGTAATTATAAAAATTAAAGGATGATTTTGAACCAAAAATATATGATAAAATGATGTTAAATAAGTGTATAAAACGAGAATCAGATTTATAAGTGAAAATGAAGAGCCAAAACACTCATTTTCCATGACTTAAGCATTTTTGGTTTCTGGCAGATTTCATGCATGAACTTCATTCGATCATATCTTGAAAAATACTTAGTAAAATGACTTGATTCTTCTTTTGGAGCACTTTTCATTGAGTTAGTTTTCAGACCCAAGTGGTTTCATGGAAAAACTTGGAGATTTGACCTCTCAACCATTGGGATTAAATTAAGAGTGCAAGGGATAATCTGTTAGAGTCAAAACTCTACTTTAATCAGTCATAACTCTCTTAATATGCCACTAAAATACTTGATTATTCATCTGGAAATTATTTTATTGGATTTTCTTTCAAACGAAAGTGGTTTCACTCAAACATATTGAGATTTGATGCCTCAAACACTCAAACTAAGTTTGGTGTGCATGCAATCAGAATCTGACAGATTTGGACATGTGTCTTAAAATGACCATAACTCCCTCCAAATGTTATCAATAATGATGATTCTTTTTCTGGAAGATAGATATTTGAGTTACTTTTAAAACCCAATTGCAATAACTAAAAAATATATTGAGATTTGACCTTCCAAACAGATGTGTCAAAAAGAGTGTGCAGGCTGCCTTGATAACTGTAACACTTAAAGTTGAGTGTAATGATTAAAATACCTAACCACCTCTAAAAATGGTGTTATTTATGTCAAACTTTCCCTAAGACATTAAAATAAAACATATAAAAATTTGGTTGATCAAATAAATCGAGAAAATAACTTATTATGCTCATATGTGAACTGAAGTTTCTGCCA